ATCGAACTCACTACTCAGTAGTAATTGTTTTAGCTAGACAAGCTTGCTAACCATTACACCACCTCAAGGTGCCCATAGTTATTTTCCAAGCGTAGCTTAGATGTGGCACAAGGCCGAAAATATGGGGCATATAGTGAGGAACGAACTCGAAATTTCTATAAGTCTAACCAACATATTTAAGCCAATTTAAGCCATTTAAAGTTTCCGCTATCTAATGTTAAACTTATGTAAGCATCTGATGTACTTAGAATTCGATGAAATAAATCACTATTTCTGCGATTATTCTGATATTTCATACTCTTAAAATAAAGCAGTTAATTCAACTGACCGAAGACAGGTAACCTTTATTAAATATTAAATATAAGGCATTGTGAAAAAAAAGTGAATTTAAATGTTTTAGGCTTATATTTCCTTTTTTTAGATAAATTATCACCTATTTTCGGGTGCTAGATCTTAAAAAAGTCATGTCTGTCCGGCCGTTGGCCAATAGTGATCTAGACTAATTTATTACTTTTGTATTGAGTTTAATACTTAGTATGTGACCAAAGCGGTTACCCTTATGCTAGACTAAGGTAAGATTAATAAATATATAACATATCCTGCCGTAAAGCGATTTTTCAGAAGCTGAGTTCGATCTGGGTACTCTGCTATGTTAGCTCTGTGTAAAACTTTGCTAAGCTTAGTAAATATTCTAACTTAATGCCAGCGTAAATGTCTCGTCATGAATCCATGTTCAGTTCTTATTATGTACCTAAAATATGTTGTCTTGTGCCAGAATAAACCCGCTTTCATTCTGTCATATATAATTATAAATATTCCGTTAGGACGGAGGCGAACATGATTCTCAGCTGCATCTTTTTTTATATCTATACAGAAAAATTTGTTAGAAACAAAGAATAGAGTATTGAAGGTTTACGTTATATCAGTTTTGTATGGTAGTGAATGCTGGACAATTTGCTTATAGATTAAGAGACTTGAAGCAGCAGAAATATGGTTTTACAGAAGAATGCTGCGAATACCATGGACCGAATACATTAGCAACGATGAAGTTATGGTGAAAATGGAAACAAAAAGGATTCTTCAATTACATTTAACCCCAGGAAGAGAGTTTAAATTTCTAGGGCACATTATGAGGGAAGAGGGCTTGGAAAAGTTTATGCTCACAGGGCAAATTGAAGACAAGGGAGACATAGGAAAACAACGCATAACTTACTTAAAGAGCTTGAGTTTGGCAGAGCAAGGTTTAGGAAAGAAACAAAAAATGTATTAAGAGCTACAAGAGATAGGAAATTTTAGAGAGCCATGATTGCCAACCTCCTGAAAGGAAAAGCACATAGAAGACGATACTTTGTATTGCTATGATTGTTCTTAGAAAAGATAGTTTAGTGGTGTTCTGTTGCCGCCTTGGTTTTGAAGCCACGATTGTCTTCCTAGACTGGCTATTTACCCGATTTAAAAAATTCGTCTTTCCTGCTACTTCACCAAGATTTGGCATTCATGGCTTTCATAAAGAAATTTGTGTGAAATGAACAGAAACTATCTCAGCTGAATTTCGAAGTTGGATTGCTGAGTCAACGATATTTAAATTAGAAAAGAGTACATTCATGAGGGAAAGAGCATCCAAATAAGTATTGTATATATCTAGCTGTAACTACACATATCTGTTACGCCCGTTGTCAATTTTGATAGGTCTGATACATAATCCATGTTTAAGACAACGGAATATAACGAAAATACTTTATTGTGTTAAGTTAACATAGTACTTATAACCATTCATTAGTTTAAGACACAATATAAATTGTATCATCTTACTAAATTTATATTCCATTTCTGTGTCTAAAAAAAACAAAAAGTATAAAATATGGTTGCACCAAGGCAATGTAGAAAAATAGATTCATGTTTTTATCTCTGGCGATTAGAGCAGTTGTCACAGAAAGACTGATTTTCCGTAGTAAAATAGATCCGATTTAGAGCCTTGCAGAGAACTTTATTTTTTTTATCCATTCTATTTACTAATGGCTATACAGAATGACGATCTGAGTATTAACAACGAAGAACAACTAGAATTAAAATGAAAGTAAAACTAGTAAAAAGAAATAAAAAGTAATAGTTGACAAACTTCATATAATAAAATTTCAAGATAATATTCCTATTGCTATTAATATAACTAAATTAAGACAAGAAAAATACTAAAAAAATGCATAATTTTTGACAAATAAAATTAAAGATAGCTGAAGTGTTGCAATGTTTTAAAGTTAAAAACTTAAAAAATGAAAATGCTAATCCTTCAGAAACATCTTAAATATCAGTATTTTTTTTTTTTTAGATAAAAATGAATTTTCCCTACATTTTGGTGCGTCAACATTTTTTTTTATTTTCATGGAAACGCTAAAATATTCCTAAATTTCAATTAAAATTTATTTTATTTAAGAAATTTACTGGTCGGTTTAAATATTTTGTACACGGTGCGGTTTTATTATTATGAATATATTAACAAAAATATAAGTTCATCTCATTAACTTTTTTCTTATTCATAGTTAATTATCATCCATCCCCTACCAAAAAGGGTGCCATACATCCAAAATATAACGAATTTGCGCCACTTTTATGATGCTACATAACCCCCACCCATCCACGATAGTTGCACAATAGAAAGTATCGTACATTGTAGATCATAACCAGTTATTTTTTTTTAAAAACAAACAAATATTAAATATATTGTCTATAGTTATAAGATTCATTAACTTATCCACTGTTGCCATGCTAGAATCTGGTTTTATGAGCACAATGTTTGCTTTTCTATTCGTTCCTTTGACTTCAACTTATCCGTAAGAAGAAAAAGAAACGCCTTTCTTCCAAAAACTACGGAACTATTTTAAGAGTTTATAGAGAAGATACGACCTTCTGAACAATACTCAGACTGAAAAATACATTTCTAATTCTTCATAGAATTATGCACGCTGTATCTGATACGAGACGTTTGTGAAGTACCTTTTAAACATCAAATAAGAAAATTCGTGTCATTTTATTTCCCTCATATTGAATTATCATCCACTCTTAACATTAACACCAGGACGGTTTCGGACATCTAAAGTTAGACCAATTAGGTTGACGAGGTTATGGAAAGGTCAAAACCTACTCTACTATCGTACCCATGATCAGAGGACTTAAAAGGAATCTTCATTAATCAAGCGAAAAATCGAGCACTTTTTCCTTTTAAATATTCTCTTCCCTGTAATTGCCTGACTATAAGTCTTTTTAACCTTAAAATACCTTAGTGTTTTTTTTATTCAGTTTAGGCAAGCAAACAGGCGTGGAATTCTTACGATAATCAATGAATGTTTACACTTCAACACACATCCCGATGGACAATAAGTGGCCTAACGAAGGTTTTAAAAAAAGAAAATCTATATTGCTTGGCAATCGTTAGTCTACTATTTGGTACCTTGTTTTCTTGTAGACATTTGTTGACTGAAAATATTGAATGGCCTATTGATTTACAGATGAAGAGAAACACTGTAGTGTATACGCTATAACTATATTGATATTTTTATTAGTGAAGTTCTTTCTTTAAACACGAGGAATAGGTTGATTTTTTAAGCAAGAATGATAACGAAAAACATCTTACGATAAATAGGCGTATAAAATACATATTACAATATCTATCAAGACTAAGCCTGGCCCATGAGATCTTTGACAAAAGACTTATTGAACTTATTCAAGTCAAGTATATAAATGTTGATACTTTTAACGGTAATAAAAGTTTAAGTTCGTACTAGTTTTGTTGTTTATCATTTCAGTTTGATTTGAGTGTCTATTGGATTTAAGTCGAAAAACATACGTGATGAAAGCAGACGCCTTTAATTTTAGTAGTCAGGTTCCCGGCGCCTTTTAGGGTGTTAACTGTTATTTGTAGTTGCAGGTTGGTGAATTAAAAAATAGAGGAAGAAAACGGGTTTATTCTTTTGCTCATCACAGTTATTTGATCGAAAAGAATAATAAAATGGGGCTCATTTCCCCACAATGAATGCAAGGAAATCGAGCATGTAACATTTTGTAAAGTGGGTATCCCCTTTACCTTACACCTAGAAAAAAACATTAAAGTCCTTTACTTGATATTTACTTCATAGTGAATATCATACGAGAAAAGACTTTGGAAGTTATATTGATTTTCTGGATAATTGTTTTTACCTCTTTTGTTCACCAGGACAACATTCAAGCGTGGAGTGAGTAATCAATCTATATTTTAAATACCGAAATTATCTAATATTATCCATTCTAAAAGCACAGAAAGTGAGTTCAGTGTTCAAATTAATAAGCTGCTTTCGCACTAATTCTCTTGAGGAAGGCTTAAATGTATTTCTTCTTACCCAATAAGCTATATGTAGACTAGGCTGTCTAATCTTGGGTGGCAACTCGTTTAGGAGAAGGACTATTCTGAATTCAAAAACGGTGATGGAAACAATAAACTACTCCACTGTCTTTTCTAATAAATTATGGTAATTCAGATAATAAAGAAAGGAAAGCAGTGGAGAGGCATTATCGCCTACTTCCTGAACTACTTGTTCTTTCTAAGCCATTCCTGATTGCCTACTTTCTGGATGACTTTTAAAATTCATTCTAAATTATTCTATTGTGAGATCTGTGTAATCGACAGATCCTTTGAATAAGTTTGCTTTAAAAAATAACTTGAAAATAATTTTATTATATTTAAATTATTTTTAAAGAAATAAGAAGATAGCCAATAGGCACTAAATTCTAAGGAAGAATGTATCGTTAAAATGATCTTTGTAATGGTTGATTGGCAAGATTTAACATCATTAAGTTGGATATAAACATCCTATGATTGACAATAGGGAAAAAAGATTTAATTTTGATTGCTTTCGTTTAGATTTGTTGGAGTACTTTAAAATAAGTCTAATATCTTCACGACATCGTCAGTGTTAATTTGAGAAATATTTTTTATTATTTTAAAATTTGAAAAGAAATACACAACTTACCTTGTAGTCTAACGATTCGGTACTTAACGTCTCCAAAAGTACCTGTAACAAGTAGAAAATATAGTTATACATTGATCATATTTTCAATATTTTATACAATAAAAGAAAAAACAGATCATTTAAAAATTCCAGTGTTAAGCTTAATATAATCCAACATAAAAATGCAAATACGAAGTCCCTATTGAGGTTTCAATTGACTATAGTTATAATGGTTTACAAAGACAAGATACCCAAACTTCCAGAATTCTTTCATATCTTAGTGTCATTAAATGAGTACAAATTCTTTACGATATAAGTCTATTTATATCAAGCGCTTGACGTAAATGTTTTCTAGCAGGTGCCTCATAGTAGTTCTAGTTGACTCATACCGTTAAACATGCGTATTTTTCCTGTTATTATTATCATACTCTGTTCTTTCACGGAGTCGGTCTTTTCATTTCCACGCTTTCTGGAACAGTCCGCCACTGACTTATCTCCCTTGCATGCCATCTAGATTTAATACTACTTAATATATTATAGAATAAGATACGTTAAGTTTAATTTTTCCGATAAGTAATTACATTTAGCTAGTTACAGACTTTTCACAAGACATTGTCAGTAAATTCGATGGGTCGCCCACTATTGGCTAAGACTAAGGTAAAAGTAATAATTGTACTCCCAAACACTATGCGAATATATTTACTGGTCACACACTCTGTTCTTTACTATGAGCTATTCATTGACATTTCTCTGTGACAATAAGCAAAAATGTCATAATACTGTAACAACAGAATATCGCTTTCTCTGAATAGTCTTTCTTTCATCCAACGATAGAGTTCTGTTAATTCTAGTGAAACTAAAAAATTTACTTAAAATATTGTGGTTATATTTTGATGACCCGAATAATCTAGTTATTTAAAATGTTAAAAGTATGAAAATAAGTCACATTATTTTCCTACGCTTCTATTCAAGATGCACTTGCTATTATTCACCATAACAGAATATATAAATATTCATTATTTTATCAGAAACAAAGATATATACATTATATATATGAGAAAAATTTTAGAAAAATCTATGACAAAGTGGAAAAAAAGAAACTAGATGAAATCGGTTAGGCGATATAGCCAAAGCCATATTTTAAAAAAAAAAAAGATTTAAAAGTTTAAAATTGTAGCGTTCACTCTCCTTCGTGTGTGCGTATCAACATAAACATCATTTTAGACCAATAAAACCAGACCCATGAAAAACCATTTCTACTTTGTTATAGATTTTCTTAAAATATTCTCTTATCTACAAGTTTCTATTCGAGACATGTTTTTCTTGCATAAATTTCATAACAGTAAAACTCGTTTAAGTATATATATTGCATGAATAAAGAATTATTTATATATTATAAACACATTTTTCCAATTGTGTAAGGGTGCTGGGGTCTGCATTGCTGGACTGAATAGGAAATGCAAAATAATGGCTGGCTACTACACGTTTCCAAGCACCGCCCACCCCGATCTGCCACGGCGGCAAGAGAAACCATATTAAGACACCTGTTCAACACCCACAGAGCCCACCTGTGGTTCATATTTCAACTATACTGAGCGGACCTTAATTACAGTTTCTGGGAGAGGGAGCACATTATCTGGCGTGACCGATTACTTGAACAAGGCCAACTATCGATGACTTCCGAACGGTTCCATGTACCAGATTTCTCTTCCTAGGCATGGCATGGTTTTCAGGCACTTTGCAAAGTTACTGCACACTGAGATTGTCTCCCCATATCGATAACATCAAGAAGTCACCTCACTGAACACATATAGTAAAATTCTAACCGGGGTTTCAGTCAGAACGCAAGCGTTCTAACCACTCGGCTACGCGCCCATATGTGCGAGATAATGCATCGATTATCAGTAGAGAAAAGGCGATCAGCATGCCTTCAAATTTCAGCTGAGATTGCATACGTTGACTTTGCACTAATGACCTCGGTAAAAGTAATGTATTTCTTCCTACTCTCTCTAATAACCAAATAGCTTAATAAAATAGTTTTATAATAATGTTTCGTCGAGTAGGTGGGTGCATCTTTAATTGGTAGCCTACGTAAGCCGGAACGAGTTTGTGGTAAAAGAAGAGTAACAACTATCTTTTCTTAAATAAGATTCTGCAGACATTTTCAAGGACGACAAGTAATTAATATCCATTTAATCATGACATTTTACATTAATTGCGTTCAGGAAAGTAAAAGGTGCAAGTTTTAATTTTATTAAGGCAAATGTTTTTACCTAGGTAGCTTAATAGATTCACCCATCTGGTGAGAAGGGGAAATGTTTATTTAAATGCGGTTACTCACATGTTAGAACGTGCTTGCGGTTAATAACGGTGCTCTTTTCCGAAGGCATTCGTTTATCTGAAGTTATGCCATCCATAAATTGTGTCAAATGGAAGTAAAGTGAGCTAATTTTACCAGTTCCATCAAAACCCAAATTATATAGAGCAAAGACGACTTCTCGATCGACCACAAACCGTTTGTCGGCCGATTTCAGATCTAATTGTCCTGAAGAAAATCCACTATGAAAATTCAAGACGAAAAGTTGCAAGAATACCAAAGCGTAACTGGGCAACTATCCCGTCAATACAGAAAATACAGGCGAAAAATGGAACATATCTCGATATCAAAATGTTTTTTCTAGAATCGCAGATTTAAACAGTTCAATTATAAGTGAAAAAGTTAGCTTGTTAGTTAAGAAAGTTGCCTATTTACAATAGACATTCATCATCAGTATTTGAGCCTAAGTAAAAAGGATATTTCGAATACTGATTTTCAAAACAAGCAGACACCAGGATCTTGGAAGATTGTTGCAATACATTGTTTAATCCATTGATAGACTAAGCTTTTGAAACATTTAAATAAGTCACTCAAATGGGCCTGCTCAATAGCTGAAGTAGCTATATAATTATGTATATAGCATGGGCAAAAATTAACGGTCGATTCAATTAAAAATCAAAATTCAAATACATGTTTTTCAGACGAACAAAAACATAGCATTTAGAAATCTGTCGCAAAAGAAATTCACTTTCTTGTCACTTTTGTCCATGTATCACACCGACAGAAATTTAATGCCGATCAATAATAAAAAATGAAGATGTAATTGGAAACAGATAAAAACATATACCAGATATTCACAACGTTTATATAAATGCTTTTCCGCTTGCATAAGTATCCAATTTGCATAATAAGCGGGTAACGTGGATATAATTTTATAGACGAATATGATCATTTGCTTTTTAGGGCAATTTAACATTTTAAGGAAATTTTTTTAAGTTAATTTAACATTTCATAAATACTGTTCAAAATTATGTTACTAATATAAATAATATATTAGGGCAGATAAAAAATGTGTGCACTCATTCCATAGACAGATGTTGTTTAAAATCTTGGTATATATGCAAGTGGACAAATATCTACTTGCGTCTTTTATACATACATATATAAATTCAAACCAAAAAGAAGGAAAAATAAAAAAATAAAATGAAGGAAGTTACAGAAGGAATAAGAGTGAAAATGTGGTAAGTCAAATGACAGAAAAATAACAAAGCAAATAAAAGTAGGAATGCTCTTATAACCCTAGATGATGGAAGTAACGATATCAGCACGAGAAAGTGTAAGAGGATGCTTATATATGAAAAAGAAAGCGAGAAAAATAATGAGCGAAAAATACTCTTCGCGGGTGCATGGTGTAAAGGTATACTATAGTCTGGGTTGAATGAGGGTGATGAGAATGGGAAATGACAATAGCCAGAATGTATCTTGTGCAAAAAAGTGTCAAAAGGCAAGCAGAGTTTCTTCAAAAAGTTGAAAATGTACGAAGAACTTGACTTGCTCTAAGATCGGAGAGATTATAACGTCTAACATTAAAATTGATAACGCTGGTAATGTTGTCTGGCTTGTTGGACACCATGAGGATAACTTTGCCCTGCATGTGGGATCCTAGGGTAATAATGCTATCCGGCTTGTTGGACGCCACTTGGATAACGTTGACAAGCTTGTTGGGTGCCAGGGGTATATTTCTGTCCAGTTTGTTGATTGCGAGGGCATAAGATTGTTCCGATTGTTGGACGTTGGGAACTAATATTGTCCAGCTTGTTGATTGATGGTGCTCATTTTGAAGATGATAATTCTGATGATATTAATGTTGTTGATGATCATGATGATTACGATATCACCTCTATCACCACTATAGGGGGCTTCTATGACAAGAACAACGCCAAAATGGCTGTAACCATGACATGGGTGCTGCACCTCCTGGTTGGATGAAATGTGATTTTGCGCATGGATGGCCTGCGAAGACATTTTCCCTACATTATCTGCTAGTCTGAATCTGGTTTTATAATGACGTGCCCTGTCAAATTCAGCTCTGTGCCCATCGGGCAGAAAGAACCAAGGGAGAATGAGGAGTAAATGTGGGGTGTTGTTCTTGTTGTTGGCGGTGGCGGTGAAGAGATAAGAGATGGTGGCGGAGGGAATAGATGTTATCAAGAGGATGAGCAAAAAAAAAAAAAATGATGAGGCACTAGTAATAAGGATGATGAAGTTCATGGCGATGGCGGTGGTTTACGGATTTGAGAGAGAGAGAGATTTTTTTTAAGGAGTTAGTGCACAAGATGCTGAATTTGCGGGAGAAAAAATAAGAGTAAATTCAAGATAAAGAAAGGAAACTGGAAAGTAGTATGGAAGATTTTCGTGGAGTAGAAGAAAAAGGTGGCGGAGATATCTGGGAGGGGAGTGAGGAAAATGGGAGCGAGCAGAGAGGAAGAGATCCAGAGATTTATGCTTCTGCGAAGAGTTATACGCCAAGTGGAAGGAAGTAAAGAATATGTACCACGCGTGTGCACACGCACGCATACACATTGCAGACGCTCGCTTATACACACGTGGATAGATGCACACGAGTCAGTCACTAACAGATTCATAAAATAACACAATCACAAATAGAGATTCTAGTGTGTATTTTTATTATTATTTTATGTTATTATTTTTATATAGAATTCAGAACCCAAGAGTCAGGGTGAATGACTTGTCAAATGAACGCACCATCCAGTACGAGACTTGAGTGATTGCCTAACTGGCCCATCAAATCGGTCAGTCTGTGACGTTGACTGGTTTGATAAATAGTCAGTGAGAGTAACAATGACATACTACAGATCGAGGTGCATCATACTCTGAAATAGAGACCGATCATTTGTCCCGAACAATTTTATTATCTTTTCAACAAACCAACCAAATAAGCAAAATGACCAAGTCAGACTGACACGACTTTGCGGGTCAAATACGGACAAAACAGCATTACGAATTTTAATCTACCTTGTGAAAATGCGGATCATTGCTGAGAATTGTAGTCGTAAATCAATGCTTTAAATGTCAGAAATTATTACATCTCTCAAATAATATTAAGATATTTTTTACGATCAACATTCTTGTTTCTGTACTTGTTCGCTTAAAACTAACATAAAAGTAGGTCTAACTTCTGAAAATGGCTTTTTTTGTACAATGTATGGGTGTTAATTCCTTTTTCAATGGAAGAAAACCTGCCATTGGTTTTAACACCAAAATAGTTTACCCCTGACTAAAAACATAATTCTTATTTTAGTTTTCGTTTCACTAATATCATTACTGATGTTAGTTGACTGTGATATGCTTCTAGGAATTTAATGGTTATAATTATGAAGTATAATTTATTTCACTATGGTAGTGACAATAATCGAAGCTTGCTAGCTAACCAGCTTTCTATACAGAGATACCCAACTATATATCTTTATTGTGTATAATGGAGAAAGTTTATTCTCTCTCTCTCTGGCACACAAATTATAAGATAGTGAATGAATATTACCTGTAACAATTATTTTTAATGTTGGTAGTTTTCATTTATATATTTTATATCTTTTATATCTTTCATATCTATAAAAGATATCACAGTTTTCAAATATTCATTCTAATGTATGTATGTATGTATACTTTCAAACATGTTTGGCTAAATAATATTGACAAGTTCTGAATATCAATTTGTTTTTTCAAATTCCCGAATTAATTATTTTACCTTATCGAGTTGTACCGTTTAAATAACGTCACCTTGATTGACTAGAAATTGGTTCCAGCAAAAGTGAAAACACCGGAATTAAAAAAAAAAAAAATTAAGTAAATATATACAAAACACAATCCGTGAAAATTAATATAGTAACATTCGAAAGTACTTGGAAAAAATAATATAAAAATAAATATAAATTTTGGAAAATTTACCGAAAGCATTAAATAACTATTTCGGATAGTTGACAGAACTTGTGAACATTATTTAACCAAACAAACAAACAAAAAAAAAAAAATTTTTTAAATATTTATGACAGATTTAAGTTAGGAATATCCGAACAGTGACGTTCCATATCACGTGACGTCCGCGTCTCGCGAAGGACGCTACTTGCTAACAAACAGTAATTTTAATTTATTTGTAACAAACAGTTATTTCTGATGAAAAATTGAGGACAATTTGAAATATCAAATATATATATAAATAAATAAATACTTTCATAAAATAAAACATTATAATTTTCAATTTGAAACTTTTTCTATATATATATATATATATATATATATATATATATATATATATATATAAAAATACATACACCAGATTTAGTTTCACTCTTCACAAGGTCAAATAGGACAGAAGATTGTATTGTGACATTTTCCAAGAGATTAGAACAGGCTTTCTTTTAAGACCTGTATCCAAAATCTTGCCGTTTTTTTGCTTGGAACGTTCAAGCAAATATCTCAGCCAAGAACTACGCCTATTCTAATACAGATAGAATATAATGTTACGTTTATTTTAATCTTCCAAATATGTTCCATAACTGTATTAAAATAATTTAAAACATTTGCTCTTTCTTTATGAAATTGTCATTACAATCTTTTATAACATTTCTCATTATAATCTGTCAAGTGGTAAAGACTATTTATGTATTATTATCCTCCGTTGTTATTCATCTGTTACGATTTCGAATACCAATTTTCTGTATAGGTGAACTCCTCCTCATTTGGTGTAATATGATCTTTCTGTCTCAACTCGCTCAAATGGATTTGTATCAAGCTAAACTTATTAAATACAGATAAAGCCGGTTATTGTGGTCACTTGAGTAAAGTATTTTCTAGATAACTATAAATGGATGATTAAGTAAATGTTATAAAAACCTGGAGCAGTTTACATTCGTTGTTATAAATTCATCGTTACAATCTTATAAACAATTTCACGTTATTTATTATTTTATCATTAATTTTAAATAAAGTGACTTTGAACAAATGATTTTGATAATAGTAATAGTATGGCAAGATTATGCATGATTATAATAAACGGATTCCACTGGATCTATATTATTTCTCATTTAATACCTGAACCACTAAATTTCATCCTAGAGTAATAGCATATAACCTTATACATTGTTATTTTTACTGTTAAACAAAATTTTAAGTCTTCAGAATATTCTTTTAATAATGACTTCTTACAGAGAAATATGCGAGATGTTTAAGCAATTTTATAAATAGCCTATTTCTTGGCGTATAATACGTAGCTATAATTTGGCAAAGTATTTTTGTTTTTAAAATACAAATTTTTAAAAATTATTTTTCTTTTTTAAATATTTTCCCTTAAATTGTGATTATAAATCAAAATATGTGACAATATATATTACGTTCTGGGGTCAAGAGCTTTTTTTAAAAAGCTATTTTTTAATCTGTCGCTGATAATTCAACCATCACGATATAAAATGCAGTGTAATTGTTGGAAGAGTTTTTTTTTTTAAGGAAAATGTACAACTTATATGATGAGCAATACAACAAGCAAAAATATAACTAAAGATTTAGAGAAGTTTTCACGAAATCAGGAATGTCTTAATACTTTCGATCCATCTTTTGCATAAATTTTTTTTTCTGTATAACATCTAATAAATACTAGATTAATTTTTATTAAATACAAAGCGAATTTTCATAGATAGAACAAAAATGTACCGACATTATAATTTTTTCTAAGCAACCGGAACTATTTATAAAAAATAAAAAAACTGGTATTATTAATAGATATTTTCTTAAACATATCCTATAAAACCGATACAATGACAAATATACAAAAAGGTTTCAAGGAAAGAATGAAATACAGTGTAACCCGGATGTAAGAGAGTTGTCGGGACCGAAGAAGAAGTCTCTTATATCCGGGTTTCTCTTATATCCGGGTTTGGTCTATTTTGTTTAGGTAACACAGGCTCTAATTTGGGACCAGAGAAAATCTCTCTTATATCCGGGTTACACTGTACCTATATTAATGAACCTATCATGAAATGAATTTCAACTATTCATACGGTACATTACTACTATGAGTTTGTTCTTCACTGATTTCTGATATATATGAACAAGTTTTTTATTATTGAATAAATAATTATATCAAGGGCGATTGATAGTAAAATAGTTTAAAAGTTTGTTAACTCTTAAATGGTGGATATCATCAATTGAGGTTTCATTGGAGATCAGCTGACTTCAACAATTGATAAACTTTTTCCTACGATAAGATCTACAGGATTCGAGTCTTAACTGACTAATTTGAAGCTCTAGTAATTCTGAAGTTACTATTTGCTAGTATTCATTCATTTCCTGGTGGATTTGTCGGCAAATAACGCTGGAAAAACAAAGTGTTTATGTTTGCATGTATATTTCTCAGAGAACAGATGGTGACAACTCGGAATAAAGAATATCCAATTCCATTTTTTATGGAATGATTCAATGGATATCACACTGTTTAAATTTTTTTTTTCTTAATTTTTTATATTCTAAAAAAGAAATTAAAATGACTAAATCAAATAAAAGTAGAAATCTCCCTTTCACATTTATAGGTAAGACCCCAGTAACGTATTTATGTTATGTTTTTACTTAAAATGTAACGCAAGGTCATTTTATTTATTTTATCTTTAACTGTGAGCTACAATAAAAAAAAAGCACATTTCTTTAACCGCAGACAGCAAGGTATGCTCATGATCTTTCTACTTTTTATTACAATTATTAGAAAATGCTGTGTGAGAGACCTCTCTCTTTTTTTCTTTTTCAAAAGCCCGAGGGTTGAGGTTAGTGTTTATGAATGTTAATGAACCCTGCCTAAAATTACTTTTTCTTTTCTCTTTCTTCACTCTGCTATTTGCATCTTGAAGCGAGTCAACTGGATGAAAAACCGTGCCCTGCTCTGATCGTTTATATTTTGTACCTTCTCGATTCCCAGTGTCACGACCTCTCCTCCCCTACGATTCACCCTCACCTTTATTCTTTCCCATGCTCCTCTTAATTTCCTTCTATCTAACTCTCTCTCTTCATTGTTCATCTTCTCCGATCCATTTCACTCACTTTTTCATCTTTTCCTACATCTCGCTTTATTTTAACCTCTTCAAAACGCTCTATATCTCTTACATCTTTTTCATCTCTTTCTTCCAATAATTCTCTCTTTTTCTCTCTTTTTTTTTCCTTGATACACAACTTAAATGCCGTGCAGCGACGGCAGTAGAAAAACGACAGGGTAGCAGGTAAGGGAGCAATGTCAATGACGATAACGACGAGAGGAAGGGTGTGGACTAGAGCTTGGGTGGGTGACTGCAGAATAACACAGGGAGTCAACGTGGTCCCGAGTCGTGGCTTCCTCGCAACCAGACTGTCATTCAAATGATTGATAGAACCGCTCGAACGCCAGTCTTCAGAAAAACAAAACAGCTGTCCCTGAGAGACAAAAGACTGACTCACACACGGTGTATAACAGGGTTGGGCCAGATTACCCACGACAACAAAGGCAACGGTTTAAACTCCTAAAGTTAGTAAGAAACATCCTTAGACTTCCTATCAACAATATAATTGCATCTGAATACACTGGCGCTCTTAAAAAGAAATAGAGAAAAGGGCGGAACTGTTGCAAGTAGCATTTTATAAGTATCTGTATGTAAGAGGCACCATGTTATTTTTACAGCTTCAAGAAATTCACAATGGTAATTCGTATATAGAGAGAGATTGTGAACGTAGTCAACATGCAGTGTTGATTCCTGACACTTTCACGCCTCAATACAATCTTTAGACTGAGATTGGTTTAAAGATAACATTGAGGCGTGAAACTGCCAGTTACTATGCAGTGTTGAACCCTATATCTACAATGCCTATATCTATAAACGCTACAGTACGGTAAAATATATATATATATATATATATATATATATATATATATATATATATATATATATATATATATATATTTTTTATAAGTTATTTTAGTGGATACTCGTATTTGAAATAGACACTCCATTTTTTTCCTTAGAAAATGTCATTGCGTCCATAGCAAAGAAAGTGTGCTCCTCAGCAGGAATCGTTTCTGCGCCCCCCACTTTGTAGGGTATAGTAAGGCTCTCTCCCCATGTTAATTGATGTACATTTCATCACCAAGATATTTTTCTCGAAAGCCCATATCTGCTCATTTTCATATCCAAAATGTAAACAAAGTAATTTCTAAAGAATTAATGGATTTATTTTTATTTATTACATCAAACGTTATTATAGTGCATATTCGTATTTGAAAGAGTTTATTTAAATTTTTTACTTTAAACAGTGTATACCCGTTAAAAAATAATTTCAAACGCATTTTACGATTCTAGTTAGTTTAATTCATATTGGATACTTTAAAAAAAAAAAAAAAAAAAAAAAGAAAGGCCATAATCACATTGAAACACCGGTTCTCGTACGATCACCGAAATTAAGCAACGTCGATTCTGGTCAGTACCTAGAAGAGTGACCACTTGTGAATACGAGATGCCGTAAGCCTCGATGTGCGGGTGATGTAATTCCAATTCCAGTCATGTTTGTTATATTCACTTACACGCAAATAAATTTGGGGAAGGTATGAATCCACCTCTCCTTCCTCCATCTATGGATTAATTAGGACTTGCATCAGTAATCATTATTTCTAAAAGATTCTTACAATCTAAAAATATTTTCTGACTAACGTGCAAAAGGTTGATAAGCCGTAAATCAATGTAGATAATAAACATGCACAAATATGTAAATGGTAAAAACTTGCTGGATTTTGAACTTTACAAATGTTTACAATCATTGTAACCCTTCATTTCAAATCTGTATGTATGAAGGCCTTGCATATTATGGAAAATAAATCTTTAAACCCTTCTTAAAATGCTTGCTTTTATTGCATGAAAATATGCAATGGATTCATTCGGTAAAACATTGATGTATCGTCGGGGAGTGCCAAACGCTTTTAAAAGATTTTAAATATAGGTTAAGTAATAGATATACGTATTCATATATATCTAATAAGTACTTTGCTTCGCTTCTTGACGAAAGTGATTCTGTCTTAGTAAATCAATACAGACGCACAATATAAAAAGGACGCACACGATGACACATATATAATCTCTCAAAAAAATTCGAATGCAACTTTACGAATAAAAAAAAACAGGATATCATCTTTCTGTGACTTAGAAATGATGTCATGTACATGCGTACACAAGGGTAACAAATAGATGCACACAGATATTTGTAAGGCAATAGAGAATAAAACTCTACCACCCACATTTTACAAAATTACTCTTATCTTTTAAAAGAGTACGTACAGGATAGTATTAAGAGATCTGACAGAGTTTATAAGATTACTTTGTCACACTGAACCACTACATATATATTTTATTTTTTTAAGAGGAGAGAACTATCAAGTAACATATGCAGTGCTCAGTTAGAGTGCTAAAAATGTAATTTTATATATATATATATATATATATATATATATATATAGAGAGAGAGAGAGAGAGAGAAATGGAGACGAGTACAGAGAAATCGACACGGAGGAAGAGAGAGACAGATAGAAAGCAATAGAGAGCAGTAGAGAGAGAGACAGATAGAAAGCAATAGAGAGCAGTAGAGAGAGACAGATAGAAAGCAATAGAGAGCAGTAGAGAGAGACAGATAGAAAGCAATAGAGAGCAGTAGAGAGAGAGAGACAGATAGAAAGCAATAGAGCAGTAGAGAGAGAGACAGATAGAGAGCAGTAGAGAGTAGAGGGCAGAGATAGATAGAAAGCAATAGAGAGCAGTAGAAAGAGAGACAGATGGAGAGCAGTAGAGAGAGAGACAGAGAGAAAGTAATAGAGAGCAGTATAGAGAGAGACAGATGGAGAGCAGTAGAGAGAGAGACAGAGAGAAAGTAATAGAGAGCAGTAGAGAGAGAGACAGATGGAGCAGGTGGAGAGAGACAGAGAGAAAGTAATAGAGAGCAGTGGGGAGAGAGAGACAGATGGAGAGCAGTGGAGAGACAGAGAAAGTGTAGAGAGCAGTGGGGGGGAGAGAGACAGATGGAGAGCAGTAGAGAGAGAGACAGAGAGAAAGTAATAGAGAGCAGTATGGAGAGAGACAGGATAGAAAGCAGAGAGCAGTGGGGAGAGAGAGAGACGAGCGGTGGGGGAGGACGGATGGAGGCAGTGGGGGGAGGACGGATGGATGGGGGCAGTGGGGGAGAGGGAGACGGATGGGGCAGTGGGGGAGGACGGATGGGGAGCAGTGGGGGGACATGGGGGCGGTGGGGGGAGGGGACGGATGGGGCGGTGGGGAGGACGGATGGGGGCAGTGGGGAGACAGATGGGGCAGTGGGGAGAGGGACGGATGGGGGCGGTGGGGGGGAGACGGATGGGGGCGGTGGGGGAGAGGACGGATGGGGGCGGTGGGGAGAGAGGACGGATGGGGGCAGTGGGGAGGACGGATGGGGGCGGTGGGGAGACGGATGGGGGCCGGTGGGGACGGATGGGGACGGATGGGGGGCAGCGGGGGGGTGAGAGGACGGATGGAAGCAATGGGGGCGGTGGGGAGAGAGAGACGGATGGGGAAGCAATGGGGGCGGTGGGGAGGAGGACGGATGGAAAGCAATGGGGAGCGGTGGGGAGGACGGATGGAAAGCAATGGGGGCGGTGGGGAGAGACAGATGGGGAGCAATGGGGAGCAGGTGAGGGAGGACGGATGGAAAGCAATGGGGAGCGGTGGGGAGGACAGGATGGAAAGGATGGGGGGCGGTGGGGAGGGACAGATAGAAAGCAATGGGGGAGCAGGGGAGGGAGACAGATGGGGGCAATGGGGAGCAGTGGAGGAGACGGATGGAAAGCAAATAGGGGGCGGTGGGAGAGGACGGATGGAAAGCAATGAGAGCAGTGGGGGAGGACGGATGGAAAGCAATGGGGGCAGTGGGGGACAGATGGGGAAGCAATGGGGAGCGGTGGGGAGAGACGGATGGAAAGCAATGGGGCAGTGGGGAGGACGGATGGAAAGCAATGGGGAGCAGTGGGGAGGACAGATGAAAGCAATGGAGGCAGTGGGGAGACAGATGGAAAGCAATGGGGAGCAGTGGGAGAGACAGATGGAAAGCAGTGGGGGGCAGTGGGGAGGACGGATGAAAGCAATGGGGAGCAGTGAGAGACGGATGAAAGCAATGGGGGCGGTGGGGAGACAGATGGGGGAGCAATGGGGGCAGTGGGGAGAGAGAGACGGATGGAAAAGCAATGGGGGATCAGTGGAGAGAGAGGACGGGGGAGAAAGCAATGGAGGCAGTGGAGAGAGAGGACGGATGGGAAAGCAGGGGAGCGGTGGGGAGAGAGACAGATGAAAGCAATGGGGGCAGTGAGAGAGAGACAGATGGAGAAGCAAGGGGGAGTGGTGGGAGAGACGGATGGAAAGCAATGGGGCAGTGGGAGAGAGACGGATGGAAAGCAATGGGGAGCGGTGGAGAGGACGGATGGGGAAGCAATGGGGCAGTGGGGAGAGAGAGACAGATGGAAAGCAATGGGGAGCAGTGGGGAGAGACAGATAGAAAGCAATGGAGGCAGTGGAGAGAGAGATGGAAAGCAATGGGGAGCAGTGGGAGAGAGACGGATGAAAGCAATGGAGAGCGGTGGGGAGAGAGACAGGATGGAAGCAATGGGGGCAGTGGGGGAGAGAGGGACAGATGGAAAGCAATGAGGGCAGTGGAGAGACGGATGATAGGAAAGCAATGGGAGCAGTGGAGAGAGACGGATGGAAAGCAATGGGGGGCGGTGGAGAGAGGACGGATGAAAGCAATGGGGGCAGTGGGGAGACAGGATGGGGAAAGCAATGGGGGCAGTGGGGAGAGACGGATGGAAAGCAATGGGGAGCGGTGGGAGACGGATGGGAAAGCAATGGGGGCAGTGGGGAGAGACGGATGGAAAGCAATGGAGGGCAGTGGGGAGACAGATGGGGGGAAAGCAATGGGGAGGTGGGGAGAGACAGATGAGAAGCAATGGGGGCAGTGGGGAGGACGGATAGAAAGCAATGGGGGCAGTGGGGAGGACGGATGGGGAAGCAATGGGGGCGGTGGGAGGACGGATGGGGAAGCAATGGAGAGCAGTGGAGAGAGACAGATGAAAGCAATGAGAGCAGTGGGGAGACACGGATGAAAGCAATGGGGGAGCAGAGAGAGAGAGAGAGACAGCAATTGAGGGGAGCAGAGAGAGAGAGAGAGACAGAAAGCAATTGAGGGGAGCAGAGAGAGAGAGAGAGACAGAAAGCAAGTGAGGGGTGTAGAGAGAGACAGAAAGCAATAGAGGGGAGTAGAGAGTGAGACAAAGAAATAGAGGGGGAGTACAGAGTGAGACAAAGAAATAGAGGGGGAGTACAGTGTGAGACAAAGAAATAGAGGGGAGTACAGAGGAGAGACAAAGAAATAGAGGGGAGTACAGAGGAGACAAAGAAATAGAGGGGGAGTACAGAGTGAGACAAAGAAATAGAGGGGGAGTACAGAGTGAGATAAAGAAATAGAGGGGGAGTACAGAGTGAGACAAAGAAATAGAGGGGGAGTACAGAGTGAGACAAAGAAATAGAGGGGGAGTACAGAGTGAGACAAAGAAATAGAGGGGGAGTACAGAGTGAGACAAAGAAATAGAGGGGAGTAGAGAGAAACAGCGAGAAAAGGTGGCGTAAATCAGAAAAAAATGTTTCAAACGAGACATTACAAAGTAAAATAATTACCCAGAATTCATAATATCGTTGTCACCTGTAATTTTAAACGACTATCTCACTCTTTGCATAAAACGTCCATTTTCTTTTAATGCTATTAATTTATTATTTGATTCTTTTTATTTAATATTCGATAAAAATTGATTCTGTTTAGTAATGTAGACGACCAACTGCCGTGAAATATTACTTTCCATTGTTAATTAGGAAAAATTCAAGTAAGTATATTTACAAGCGGTTAGCTGAATATCCACCCCGAAAACAGCTACTTAATCCATTGAACATAATGTTCCATTAATGACAGAATCTGGTACATGGCAAAAAGAAATAGACGGATGACTGCCAAGAGAAAATTTCATCTTTGCTTACTACGATGCTAGAAAAAAAATGTATAGAATGGATTTATAATGATTTTGCTACACTAATGTAACTTTCCCTCCTAATTCCTCATGTAGATTTGAACACTTTTAGAAGTACATGCGGAAACACCTGCGTTTAAACTCTAATAAAGAAGTAAAACAAAAGAATCAAATGGATCTTGAAACTATTCCTTTATTTTCTCAATACATTAATTTATTCTATATAATTAGGTCGTCAATTTATTAAATTGCCACGCCCTTTTTAGCGTGTCATTATATGCCGCTGTAATGTCTAAAACTACACGAATAATCCAGAAAAATACTTTAAACATTATTTTAAGTTTTTACCTAATAAGTTTTTCAGAGTTGTTGCCACTCTCTCTAAATGTAATTAATGTGAATATGACAAATATGGAAATATGTACTTAAAATCAAAGATAATTTTGTTTATTAATGTTTGATTAGCTAGAAGGATGTTTTTCAAAATTACTTTCATTCTTTCTGTATGCAGATAATATTGCAAGATTTTCATTTTTGTTTATGAGATACTAAATTCCATTCGGGAATGCTTTTAAAAGTTCTCATCCTTTTGAATGAGTTATGCAGATGATGTGAACAAACATTGAAACATTTATAGCATCTCTCTACATATTACTGAAAAAGTATCATTCGTATAGATAATGCCAAGTTTGTATAATTAACTACCAATATTGGAAATGACGAACTTCAAATTTCAGCCGAGTTATTTTTATTTACTACTTCGCACTAATGGTTTTGGGGAAAAGCATTCACCCACTTCTCCGTATATATCACTTCAGGGAGCATATCTGCTTGCTGATATAATCAGTAACAGCAATAATAATGATACCAGGAGTTTAATACAATAATTTGTAAAAGCCTAACTATCGGATGTTATTTGGGAAAAAATGAGTACAGTAATCCCCACTGTCATGAAAAATACCTTAAAAGGCACAAAATAGGATTCTGTAATAATTGTTTGTTTTACCTTATATAAAAAGCCCATGAGTACATAAACCCTATTCGCCATTTCTACAGGGGATATTGACAAAATTGTTGGATAAAGCATTGAATGTTACTGAAATTTCACATTTTTTCATGCATTTATTACGAATTTCTGAAATTCTAACATTGTGTAATGTGGGTCTTCTAAACCTACAAATATGATTTTATATATATATATATATATATATATATATATATATATATATATATATATATATATATATATATATATAAAGTTTATTAATGTCTTACAAATAGAGAATTGAGACATTGTTAATGACCCTGAAGAACAAAATACCATTTTAATGGCATAAATGACCCTCTCCCAAAGTAATCTCAGATCACTCCGCTTGACTGGAGGTAAGAATGCGAGTCATAAATTACGATTAACCTTCAGTTATAACAAAATGTGAAATAAAGATGTTGAATTTTATAAAAATTATTTTTCTTGTGTATCATGCATTATTTTCTTCATAAATTATTTGAAGGAGCATTTTTTGTAAAAGTTACAATCATTTTCACTGATTTATACAAGTACCGCATTTCTCTGCATCAATAAGAAATGATTATTGATTTTTAGTATTAGGTTTAGGTTTTAGTAGCTAATTGTTGGGTACCACTTTCAAGTTCCGTGTTAAAATTTTTCTTAATAATTGTAAGTTAAGAATAGCATACTCGCTCCCACCCAAGACACAAGGTGCGCAATTTCTAGGCCTTTTAGTTGGAATAAAGTTGTCCTTTCTCGTTTTATTAGGAAATATTACTAAAACTTAGATGATATGTTAAATGTTACTAGAGCTTTATCCATATTCTCCATTTGATTAAGTTTCATTTTATGCATTTATAAAAAAATTATGAAATTCTATTATAAAAGAGGTCGTATATGTTATCATATGCTGTACTTTTTTATGTTCAATGCTTTTAAAATTTTATCGGAGAGACAAGATTTTAAGAATGCTAAATTGTTTTTATGGTCCTTGTCCTCAACACGCGTGTGATTTGAAATTTGCACATTTCACAAACAAAAGGAGTTTTTCACATGGCAACATGAAAAACTTTGCGATAACAAATGGGTTCATTGACGAAAATTTGCCGGCAGAGCCGACACAAAAACTGCTCATCTGGACGGAATATTTCGGGAGACAAGATATTGCCGAGGAAGTTACGAGCGGGTTTGCATGGTGGTTGAAAACATGAAAGAAAGCAATACATCATAGAACGGCGAGTGTATGGAAGCGCGCGCTAACCTTAAGTATTATGCATGGCTGATATTGAAAGAGTTGTTCGCTTGGGTTGTTTCTGATTTACAACTCGATAACACAGTCATAAACTTAATTTGATGTGAGTAATTATGCTTTCTTGTCTTGCCTGTATCTTTATTTTTTATTTTTTGTTTATATTTTCTCATCTTTTGCGATTCATTTTCTTCTACTCCCCTTCATATTTTACTTTTCTCTCTCATGCTCAACTTTTTCTCTGTATTTCACTCGTTCCTTCCTTTTGACTTCTAGATTCACCAAGTTTATGTATGAGTATTTAGCTTAGCCCAGTACGCTGTGTGTATCATCTCCCTATAGTAGAAACAATGTGAAAATAATTTGCTAACTACTGATCCATGTCAAGGTACTTTAACCTTTGTTAGTAATGTTTTACTTTAATATTTAGCAATTGGCAATTTAAAGTTTCATGATTAGTCAAGTAAATTTCTGAATACCTATCAAGTAACTACTAGGACATTCTGGTTTTAATAATATTTCTATGGATAACAAGTACAAGGTCGTAAACTAAAGGCTGTAAGAATTTAATAGAAACGTATGTAAAGATCACAGTAGACTTCTTGTTCATTGCTTGGAATGTGGAAAAATCAGTTGAAGAGGAATTAGATTGATCATAAAATATTTTAAAAGCTCACGCAGAATAGAAAACCTATATTTGCATATTTGAATTTTGAATCTTATAACTTTTAATGCTGACCTTTTAATTCAATTTTTTAAATTAACTTTTTTCATTTTTACTTACAAAACACTCAATATATAAAAAGACAATTAAGAACTAAGTTTTAAATTGTGTATTTGAAAACTTCCCGGTATTAATACTGTGATAATCATATACACTAATTACGGGAGTTAAACATATTTACTAAGTTTAGCTGATTCTAGAATAAGTTCATATCTATGGGGCATTCAACAAAGATGAAACTCTTTATAGTGGCAATGTACGTCGAAACTACTGTCCCATGGTGATGCATCTCTCATTTTATACAAAATGCAGAGAAATTAAGGAAACACAAATGGATGAGCATATCTACAATTTTCTATATGACCGTGCAATAGTTTAAACAATTTAAGAAGCCAATGTAGAAGTATTAGAAATGGCTTCTTACATAAAACGTTGATTAGTGCTTAGTTTGCTATCGCAATGAGTTTAGACCTCAATAACTTTTCTACTGCTATGCAGACATATCGAATAAATCTATGTTTATTAAATATAAGACAATCACCATAGATCAGTGTTTGGTAAGTTAGTGTTATAGGTGTTATAGTGCTGTGGTCTTTCTACTAGAAACTTTGAATATTCACACAAAATCATGTATCAGACTAAGTTAAGGTGTATATAACACATGGAGGAGTGCATCCTTCTTACATATTTACACCTATAAGCTTTCAGTCTCATAAAACAGTAATCTCGTAACAGATTAAGACATTGATGGCGTTTTCAGTTGAATAATAATTACCAAACTTCTAACGCAAATCATTTCTACTGAATTGCATTTGATGCCATTGAATATCCACCTTTTATGGACGAATGTAATAAGATTGATTCATACTTTTTGTCATATAATTGGTGAATCTATGTTTAGTAAATAACTACGAGGTCACAGTTAAGAGAGATTCTTTGTCCCAATTTAGCCATTGAAAAACTAAACCAAGCGTATCGATCTTTAAGATCAAGAATCTGCGTTTTTACAAATTACTCGTTAAACTTAATAGACTGTTGATAAATACAAACGGATTTATGTAAGCACATTCATTCTCGTTTGAACAACTTAATGGCGACAGAAAAGCGCGTTCTGGGAAAGAACAATGCGAGAAGTTTTAATTAGTTTTTGTTTACATTTTCTCCCCACCCCACGAAATAAAATATTCAAAGTAAATACGATACATTGGAGATTTCCTTTCCCATTCAAGGGCTTCGAAAACTAGAATTGTTCCAATTTTTTTCCCCTTTCTCCCTTTCGTCTCTGAGGAGCCGCTGCCTATATTTAAGAATTTATAATATCCACTCTACCAGAAAAGTAAGTTTATTTTTACAAAAATAAATAAACGCATTAAGCTTATGAAATAGTTTAGAGTGGGTTATTACACACTCTGAATTATTTCTATAAGTTTAATCCCTTACTTTAACGTAAATTTTAAAAATAACTTTTTTTCATCACGCGATTTTAAACTTGATTTTAGAAAAAAAGGATATTTTTCACACACACACATTTTTTAAAAATCATTTCACCCCAAACAATGAAGTAAAAGATTAAGACAAGTGTAAAATAAGAAAAAAAGAAACCTTATTAAGGAGCGAGAACAATAAAAGAGGTAATCATGAAAACAGTAATAGAT